TTATAAAAAAAATAATAAAGGCAGGATAAAAAAATCTTAAAAAATATCAAACCTAGCTTAATATCAAAAATATCTATTCACTGTTAATTATAAAGGAAAGAAAAGCATATAAACCTAAGATAATTAAACTTTACAAATGTTCAGCTCCTTCAGATGAAGGAAATAAAATATTTCAATCATTCTTCCATTGGAGGGGGGGACTTTGGTACTTTGCTCAATTTTCTTTTTGTCATTCCAGAAAGGATCATAAATTGCTGGTTGTATAGAATAACTATTCCAAAATGAATGTGAGATCCATTTAGAAAGAAAAAAACATAAAACACTTACAGAGCTAAAATATCAATGTTACTTGCCAAAATATGGGAATATTTACTTCAAATGACACAAATTGAATATCCTAAGAAAAATGTATATGGGTAAAGAAAGTTACTTGATCTGACTTGTAAATTTTTGGGGGTGGGGGTGGGGGGGAGATGGGCAGTGCCTCTAAGTTATTGTTGACTTCTGGTGACTGCCTGGATTAGTCCCTGCAGCTTTCTTGGCAAGATTTCAGAAGTGGTTTGCCACTGCTTCTTTCCTAGAGTTTAGAGAGAGACTGACTGGACCGAGGTCCCCCAGCTGTCATTGTGTCTAAAGTGGGAGTAGAACTCACAGTGTCCTTGTTTCTAGCTTGGTCCCTTAATCATTACACCAAACTGTCTCTCTGTAATACATATACACATTGCTATTGTCAGTGAAACTTTAGAGATATAAGATCACGCTGCAAAATGTATATAGTTTTAATAGAAATAAACTAATATATTGAATTTATCTGTGAGGGGGAAATCCTAACAAAAATATTATTTCCCATACTTATATAGGCCAAAATCTTCTTGGTAATACAAAACAGTGTTTGCAATGGATGTTGCTTTATTCTTCATGTAACATATAAAATGGTATACAAGAAGATTAATTACAAAAAAAGAATAATATTTTACTTTTGCAGTAGCACAACGAACTGCCATTGATCTATCTGTCAAACATGTACGAGCAGCTTTGTAGATATCTCTGTGACAAGGAACAGCAGCAGCTCCCAACCCTTTCAGTATGTTCTGCAAACTTAGCATGATCTCGTATCGTCCTTGAGACTGACAAGACAAAAAAACCCCACATCTTATTATAGGACGAAAGCACCAGGTTTGTTTTCTATTTTTACATTTTTATTTTGCTACTCTTCAACAAACAAAACTTTAGTAACATCATAATTATGTTAGGTGAATTAGGTCAAAAATTTTGCCAAAGGTCCCACTGTTAAATTCATGACAAAGAAATTATGGCACAGTACTGGAAGCTGATTGTCTATAACAAATTTCACCACTTTATTATTAAGTTATTGAAAACCTAACGGAGTTCATTTTACAAAGAAACACTTCTAGACCACTTCTGCATTAATGAAGATACAAGTGTGACTACTTAAAATAACAATACTCATCATTTTTAGGCAAGCCAATTGTTTCACTTAAAGCATTTTCATCATATCCTTCGGGCAAAAAGGCTATGCCATTATCTTTAACATGATTACTATAAGTAAAACAAATCAACTCTAAAGATTTCCAATAGACACATCACAATAAAAATATAAAAAAACAGTAAGAATAAAAATAAGAAGCAGAGGGAACGGAAGAAAAAATTAAATCATGGCATTAAATGTTCATTCTTAATGCAAGTTTCAATAAAGATTAAAAAGAGAAGAAAGGTCTTAACAAAGACTCATCATACTTTGCAATTATTACTTTGCAATTACTATGTATGATTCAAAGAAGTTCTGCAGAAATGTAATTCTATCTAGCACATCATCCTCAAATGTCAAAATATCATATGCATTAGACCTTCATTAAAATTGTTTTCTTCACTAAACTTTAAATCAATATTTTATTTCAACTTTGAACACTTGCTCATTTACCTCTGCATTCTTCATTGCTTTAAGAATATTTCCCACAGTATTCACAAAGCTGTTGCCCAAAATTCTTCCCAGTTTTTTGTATAAATAGCCCAAACAAACCACTGCAGCACTTTTAAAACAGAGAAGAAGAAAAACGCAATCAGGCAACCTTTAAAAAACATTATTAATATTATGCTATACTGCATTTTATTATAAACAGATGAGATTCTGAATAATCAATAGCTATTAATAATAAAAAGCTTTTAAATATTAAATTATTCAGGAAAATTTCCTTAACCTATGGTTTCTAGTTGTATTAGGTTGCCATGTCCAGCAGTATGTTGACTGGTAATTCTGCACAACAAAACTTAAAGACAACCAGTTGCATAAGGTAGGTTTAAGATATACATTTTAGAATCACTTTATTTAAAAAAAACTAAACTGATTCACAACCTGGTACAAAGAAACATCTTGGATTTGCCTTTGCAACTGAATTTCTTACTTACAAGTAGTCCTTGACTTACAACCATAACTGAGCCTGGTAATTATGGTTGTAAGCTGTGATGGTCATAAAGCAGATCATCATGTAACCCATTCATTTTAATATTTTTTTTGTGGTAGTTGCTAAGCAAACACCATAGTTGCTAAGTGAACCCATTGTTTATTCTGGGTGATTTTTGCCAGAAACCAAGAGTAAATGCTAGTTTTTGATAAAAATATTGTAAATCATGGCGAAATGATTGCAGGATGCTGTGTTGTAAGCCAAGCATTCCTTCAAATGGACTATAAAGTTTGCACAGAAGTATAGTTTGTTAAAGAGCATTCCACCAAATTCCAATGGCTCAGTTACGGACTGAAAAGTCAGCCTTTGCTAGTAGAAACATATCTGTGAAATCCTTGACAGCCTCAAAAATAAAAAAAAGCACAAGTGTAAATCTCAATGACAAAAAAGTTACCTATGCCAGAATATACATGCAGAAAATCCTAGTATACTTGAAAGAGGCAAGAGTTTGTGGTAACTTTGCCATTGGCTGGTTGTTTTGTTTTAATCTAGCCTTTTTTCAAACTTTCTTACTCATCTCTGTAAAGAATAACTTTTATTGATTTATTTTTGGCTTGCACTACCCTGTACCTGATGAACTGTGATAAGAGTTTGATAGTGATTCCTTTATTTTGTTTTTATATGTATCTGCTTTTCTGTCATTTTCTGAGATTGATAAAAAATCAACATGCTATTTCGCACTTCTAAGAAATTCCTACAGAATACCTTTCCTTTTATATAGAGGAAGTATAATAGCATTCTCCTAACTGTCAGACACAAGTAATTCCAATGATATTCAACATTCCCATGCAAATGTCTCTCATACTATTTCTAGCATAAATAAATACATTTCTCATTTCAGTTACATTCCAAAGTATTTATTTTTATTGACAGTTTTATTGACTCAATAGAGTCAATAGAGGTTTCTTGTTTAGTCTTCTTCACTCATCTCCAGACAATATTTATTTTCATTAAAATCACTTATTCGTAATGAAACTCACACTTTTACATCAATGCAAGTACTCATCAACTCCTCTCTCCAAGATCAGACATTAAATTTCTGTTTGTTTATCTGCTTTTTCTTTCATTCGTTAATTCATGCTCATTACCATTTACACCATCTACATTCAAAGTCATGGTTTATCATATACCATGGTCATAACCAGATGAGTCTACAACTTCCATTCCCTATCATGCCTTTGGCCAATTTAATCTTCACATGATGCTTTTTTAGTAATGCAGAGAAACCAATCAGGCTACCACTCTTAATAATACTAACATAATTCAATGAAGACAGTAGTAATCAGTTCTGCCATTTATTGGATAGTATGCCATAGGCTCAGGCAAAACTCAAATTTTTCCAAGTATATTCCTGATATTTTATTGAAACTACAATTTCTAATCTAGACACTACCTTGCATTGCTATAATTGTCCACATGTCCACAACTGGGAGCTGCATGCTGTGAATAGACACACTCAAGATATAAGATGAAACAGGAGCAACCTGTCTTAATCTGAATTGTTTCCTCAATGCAAAGCAAGTCTGAGTTCTAAGTAGGAGCCACCCACTAGACTTTCATAAAATAATTGATATGAAGGTGCAATTATTAGTATAGTAAATTTATAGAAGATAATGCAATAGACATATGTTAGAAGAAAGCATTTGCAAAAATGTTTATATTAAGAGAAGTTTCATATAATGAAAAGTATGAATTGTTGTGCACAACAAATTTTATGCCTACCTTTTTAAAAAAGGAAATTGTGTTTCAAACATATAAACATTAAAATTAAAGCATTTCTTCCATCTGTATCCAGAAAAGAAACACCCATAACTAAAGAATTAATGATGTTATATCCTGGAACATGAGTTTACTTGAGGTTAAATGTTTTTCAATTGTTAAAGCCTATTTTTAGGTTATGCATACCTCCTATTCCTTTGAAAAATCTTATGCAATCCTCATAGGATATAGCTACAATTTCATCTCAAAAATATTGTAGCCAATATTTTATGTTAGAGGCAAAGGCAGGGGCTTCTATCGGCTAGCAGCTCACTTGAGAAAGGATGGAGCATTATTGGTGCCAAATTGGAGATTGGAGCTATTTATTTGACTATAATTCTTGAACTGCCTATGTTTAAATGCCCGTCTAGTTATCCACTACAATATATAAATGTCAATCCAACATTTCTAGGCATTCCTCCAATTGCTGTGTTTTCACCAGTCTCTTTTTCTAAACTAAATTGTTTTGATTATTCTGTTCCCATTATCCAGCTAAAGACTCATTCCTGACTCATTTCAACTAAAGACTCATACAACTAAAAATAATAGCACCTAAAAAGAAAGAAATTGCCTTTGTGTTGTGCAAATGGGCATTGCATGGGAAAACATAGGGAACTATGGCTCTGTTACCAGGCCAACGAAAAATTGGATGCAGTCCTATTCTAATCTTCAAAACTCACACTGTATGCAATTTTGTTATTTTTATTTAAGACTCCACAGGCTCTATGATGAAAAAATAATACTTTATTATGACCATGGTGGACTTTTAAACTTACAGTTTAGTAGGTAGATAGCTTGGTGAATCATCTTTACTGAGAATAAGTTCATTGCATTTGTCAATTGTTTGGTGAACAGAAAAAACATCTCCTGTGCTATACAATATAGCGAGGTTCTTGGCAATGAGTTGTCTAGCAGGAGGTCCTGGTGAATTGGTTAATAAAGATATCAATTGCTCAACAAGCTTGTTCTGTTTTTCCCTTATATCAGCCTGGAAATATAGAATATACGGTTAACAAGAGAGACATTCAAACTTTGAACTATCTGAAAAGCTTCAGACCACTTTCAGCTGGATTCAGACTTATTCAAGTGAAGCCTGGCTCAAAATAGCATCCAATTTCCATTTCTAGTCACTAGTCAGTTCCCTATATACCCCTTATATCCCCCCCCCCCAGGAATAAAAGAGAAGAAAACAGGAAACAAAAATATGTTCTGTTCTAAGTTGTATCTTTCTTACCTGATTAGTTGCTGGTAAAAGTTTTTCCAAAAACCTCAGCCACTCCAAAGCAAATTCTGTTTTCTGAAATTCACCCAGCTGATTATAAACCTCTTCATTAAATAGCAAGCTGCAAGCCAACTCCATTCTTTAAAGCATCTCCTTTTCTCTATGTGAAAGCCACTCATGAAGGCACACAGGAATGTTGCTGTGTGATGTCAGCATTTACTGGCTGAATGAAAAAGGGCACCTGGATAAATATATAATAAATATATTTAAGAGTGGAAATGACATATTTTAATTACAACATTTAATCTCAGGGTGCTTTGCTGCATTTTAGAAGTATTAATAATTCTTGAACCGTAATTCTTAAAATCTCTTAAAATTTGGCAACTGCTTAATGTTGTAATATCTACAAGAAGCAATGCTAGCATACAAGAAAGATCACTTGTAGACTGTTATTTGTTTAAATTTTATCTTACATTTCTGTCAAAAATTTAAGGTGGAGTACTTCCTTCTTTGATTTTTCCCCATAACCTCTCTATGACAATAACTTACCCAAAGCCACCCAACTAACTTCAGACAAAGTCTGAATATGTACTTGGGTCTCCAACATCTTAACCACCACACTACATAAGAGAACTGTGTTGCTACCAGGGTCCTTATTTTTTATACAACACAGTGTGGTATTGACTATAGAACATGTATTTCACCTATAACTTATTCTCACAGTGACAATAGTAGACAATAGATGTATCTTGACCCTTTCAACAGAAGAGACAACCCTCTTCTCATCTGAATCAAAAACATATGAGAAGACAAAACAGGTTTTTTGCCACATTAGATTGTATATATATATAGCTTTCTTAGCCGAAACTCATTAGAATTCTTCTGCTGCAACCATAATGCCCTTTTTAATAAATATCACTAATAAACATCACAGGACCCTGAAAGTCTTGTTCTATAGACCAACTATTTCCAGTTCAGATTGTTAGGAGGAAAATTGGATCCCATCCTGCCCTAGAAGTTTTCGTTCAGGAATTCTCAAATTGTAGGTCAGGACTACAGGTAGTCCTTGACTTATGACCACAATTGAGCCCAAATTTTCCATTGCTAAGCAAGGCAGCTGTTTTGACTTTTGCCCTACTTTATTACCGTTTTTGCCATCGTTGTTAAGCCAATTACTGCAGTTGTTAAGTGAATGTGGTTGTGAATTATTGCAGGACAGAGCAATTGTCATAAATACATGCCAGATGCTAAGTGCCCGAATTTTAATCATGTAACCATGGAGATGCTGCAATGGTCGTAAGTGTGAAAACTGGTCACCAGTCACTTTTTTTTAGTGCCTTCATAACTTCTAAAAGTCACTAAATGAATAGTTGTAAGTCATGGACTACTTGTACCTGGGACTTTCTCAGCAATAAGGAAGGGTGCCATAAGTTTTATTAACTCTTATCTGATGAGTCTTGTGCAAACAAAACAGAAGCATTGTCAAAACTCACTCCAGCTTTTGCTCCTTGATATACTTGTGGAAATCCATAGTGAGCATTTCCAGTACAATATTTTAAAGTCCAAGAACCCTTGGAAAATATAGGTTAAAATACAGTGATTAAAAGTGGAATGTTTATTTCTTGCCCAAACATAAACTCAAAGAATAATTAGTTATATTCATTTGGGAATCACACGGATTCATTTATAATTTTAGGGAATTGCATTATCTTAACTTTTGGGAACTGCTATTCTAAAAACCAAACATTAAACATTCTTTCCATATAGGATTGATTTCTTATGACAAGAAAATAAAATTCAGAAAAAAAAGGATAATGAAAGAAGCATACATGTAAAGGGAATTCAATTGGCTCAGATTGTATAGTATTCATCAAATTTAAGAGTTAACTTGAGAATAAAAGTACGCCTCTTTATAACTTCATGTTTTACTTTATATGATCATTAATTTATATGAAGTATTGCCAATGATTTATTTTCTCAATGCACTGAACATTTCTATAAAACATGACAATATGTAATACATGTTTCTACAAATATTTTTGTCAATTTTGTACAAACTCATCTGGAGTTTTCTTCTGAAAGTTGATTTTCCTCATGAATTTCAGGGTAAATTCTTTGTATTGTCATAGTATAATTTAATTGTAGGGAGAAGAGAATTTATACCATTAAAAGAAGAAACAGACACGAACGCAGTTAAGCTGTCCACTGAGATCTGATTATCTGATGTAATTTAAGAGAACAGGCTTATTAATTATTTATACTGTTATGATAGCTGTTTCTACACAGAGGAACAAAATCCTCTTAATGCAAGCTAGATTCATTTGCTAGGTAATAAGTCCTACTGAAAATAATAACCTCATTTCTAAGTGACATTAGGGTGGCAAATATACTGTAGAAAGGGCCACACATTTTATTTTACAAAAACAATGCCTATCACATTGAGGCATGTGTGGTAAAGCAAATAGGAATTGCATGATAGTTGTCATGTACTATAACTACTATATTTTCTCTAGATATTCTCCATTTCTATTAGGATCTGTATGATAAAGCATATACTGTATAGTCTAAGTAGATCGAATAGCATAAAAAGTTCTCCATATTCTGTTAATGTAGCATAGTAGTTTAATCCGCATCATGTAGTGGTAGAGCCAAATAAAATGATTAATCTTAGTAGATTGCAGAATCCATTTCACTTATAAAAAATAGCATTTTTCTATGCCAAGAAAACAAGAAGATTTAAAAAACAAGTAACAGCAATTACAATTTTTATAAAAGCATATGTTAAATATACAAATAGTCAAACTCTTTCAAAAGTGGTTTAGAAATATTCACATGTTGTCTAGCCTTTTTAGTTGCAGGGAATTATTACTGGACTTTAACTTGGTCTTTTTTGAGAGTATTAATATTCAAACAGTAAACTATTTACAGCCTTTTCATTGCTACTAACCTGGCAATATCTTGAAAGTTTTCACTCATATGCTGTAGGTGCAATATTTTGGGGGACAAAGAGCATTACTGAAGTCAATATAATTTACTCAAATATAAATCCTGTGGTGTGATACAGCAGAGTTTTTGGATTATATTTCAAAGCAAGTGGCTATTTATGCAACCGAATACATTTCTGATTCCAAACAACATTCAATATTTCACCTTATGATTTATTTTATATTTACAAATATGCCTCAGGAGCTTTTCTTGCAATGACCATGTCAACACTGCAACAAACCTGGCTGAAGCCATCTTGCTCATTTTCAGTTGCCACAAGAATGGGAGGAGGGTGATAGAGTTTTTATGCTAGTCTAAACAATTTTCTTTCCCGTGGGAACCAAGGTCATAGACTGGGGGCTGAGCATTTTGTTAGAAAGCCCGCCAAACTATTCTATTGGGAAATGTAGTTGATTGCATAGTACTGGGGTGGGAAGTTTAACTTTGTAATATTGTAACTTTTTAGAGGAAACATTAGTCTTGGTTTCGCTTTTGACCGTGCGGATGCTTTGTAGCTAATAAACATGTTCTTAGAGGAAAACTCAAACCTCAGAGTTCTGTTTTAGTTGGTCTCATCTATCGGAACCATGACAGGCCACCAGTGCAGTAAGTACTTTAGATTCATTAGGTATGACATGAATAAATGGGTGCACATTCTACATATGCTGAATTGTTACCAATGACATGTGAATGGGAATGTTTAAAAGAGGTGGTAGGAAGCAACTTGTTGTACCACCCAACAATTTGGAAATTAGCTTTTCTAATTCAAAACCCTTCCAATATATGAATCTACTGATGCACCTTATATAAGTATGACCCAATTTATATTTGATTTGTATATAATAAACTAAGATTCTCTCACTTCAGAACTGTATAAATGTGATTCATCCCTGAGTTTGCAAATATCTATGCACTTCCTTGAGAACAAGTGCTACTTAACCAAATGAGGAACATATCTGAGCAAACATTTATTGGATGAAACAGCAGCAGAAGCCCTAGCATTTTTGTGATACAATTTCCCCTTCTGCTCATAAAAGAGACATTCTATTCATGATTAACTACAGTAACATACATATGAATGACATAATGAACTTTCCCCCCACAAGATAACTATAATAAGTAAATAGGATGAATATTCAAAGTATATTAAAGCTTTGCAACATGAAAAGATTACACATCTATGACTACTGCGAACTATAAAAATTCAAATTTGCAATAGGGGAAATATCTGTAGTTTGGGTGTAGGATGAGGGTGAAGGTTCGTTCTCAGAGCTTGTGGATTGGTTTCTGAATGTTTGGTTAATATTCATTCAAAAAATTCAAATCTATTTTAATTCTATCTTGACATTTGTCTTGCCTTACCTGAAATTATTAACATCTGTAATTTTTGTTGTAAAAATATGTCATTTTTGCTTAACTGTATAATAAGACCATATTCAATTCTCACAGTCAACTCAAATCTATCAACCATAAATCATAATTCTATTTAATTACATGGTAGTCCTAAGAAGGAAAAAAGTGTGTACCTAGTTTTGGCATTCATTAAGAACACTAAATCTTGGCAAAGAAAGGATATCAATAAAATCAGTCAATAGAACCACTACCCAAATTCTCATTTTAGTTCATTACCATGAAATTTTAATGATTTAAAAAAGAATATACATAAAAATACTTCTGGAATAATATGCTGCTAACAATGATCTCCATCCTTATGTGGTTAAAAAGTATCTGCAGACATGGGAGACCCTGAATAGTTGCATAACTACATAATATTTCAGACCTGTTCTCCTTAAGCAAAAAAAATCCCCTAATAAAAGACTGATCATGATAGGAGGCATAGAATATTGTAAGTATCTGGAAGAAAGGGGAGAGCAGATTAAAATATTCTGAAGAAAAATGTGATTGACAGACTACAATTAAATGTTAAAATGATTTGAAAGGGTAATTAGAGGAACTATTTTATAATCTTGTAACCATGCAACACATTCTTATTACCAGTTATTCCATTATAAGGGAAAAAATGGAGGATGGACTGTTACATGCCATCTTGAATTCTTGGAGAAGAGACAAAATAGAAATCTAATGAAAAAGTAAATGTAAGAAACAAAAATAGTCTTGTATCAAGTTTCCTTGCTATTTTAAATAAAGGAGTTGAATAATATATAGCATTTAGCATCTGAGTATACAATCCAGTGCAATCCATTCAGTAAAGCTAAGCATTTTT